GAGAATTGGGTGCCTGATAGAAACTGTCCGTGGTCAGCGCAAAGAAGCAGTAAGCGTTGTCAGTCTGGTTAGCTGGGATTGCATGGTAACTACCAATCAGACTTTCTGATTCGTCCAGGGATCCCACTTCAGCATTGAAGTCTCCAGAGATTACCACGATTTCCGTTGATCCAGCACTGGCAGTGGTTGAGAGGTCCTTGTAGAATTCATCCTTCACTTCTGGCAAACTACAATAAGTTAGCGCATAGGCGAATATGACAAATAAACATCGACGCTTCGTTCTATAGCTGTTGATCCGTAGTGAACCATCCAGACGTACAGCGTAAAGTCGGGTGCTAACCGGGATCCAGTCGAGAACTGAACGCTGGTCCTTGACACTCAGCGCAATCCCAACACCAGCAACACCGCAAGCTACGGATGCTGAATCGCCTGACACACGGAGAGTGAAGCGTGAGAATGCGGTTGGATCAGGAGAACGCAAGATAATTAAAGTAGGGTCTTGTATGCATATTTCGGAAACAGCATACATCTAAATAAAAGGTTTCAAGGGTTCTAGTTGAGGCAGCTTGTTGACCGATCTGGTAGTGTGCGGACACTGAGTGAGAAGAGGATTTTGGTTTCAAAAACCTGGTAGCCTTTGAGTGGTTGCCCTATTTTGTTGAACGCTGAGTGATATCCGATGGGTCTCGTAAACAGAAGTCACCTGAAATCACTTGGGATTGAAAAGGACTAGAATGATGGGAAAGATGGTTGTCCAAATGGGTGCTTCAGAATTTAGGGCACGGCATATTTCGCGGTAGTCCACACCGACGAAGGGGTTTTTCTTTGGGAACTCTAACCGGAGCCTTTGACTCAAAAGTCTAACCCACAAGACAGTGGGGCGTAAATCCAACGCGGGAGCGTGAACGAAGCACCCGTGTGGGAGCTTCTGGAGACCTGTCACGCAAGGCCTTTGAATTTCGGTTCAGTGTGTTGTTCGCTGGTGCGTTGATTATCGGTCCGCTTTTCGGGATCAGCCCTTAGCCTCATGCACCCAATGAGACAAGCGGAACGTGGACGGGACAGCACCCGAATGGCTGGGGGCTGTCCAATGAAATGCGAAGACTTCTCCCACCGTCAAGAGGAAGCCCCAGGTACCCCGCTCCTACGTCCATCTAGCGGGCTTTTTCGACCGATAAACTGCCCCTCATCGTGTTTATTTGCTGGAGTGGCCTCTCCAGGGGTGGGTGTGGATAGAAGGAAGCCAGGTGCCCAAGCAGCTGGCTTTGTGAGACTGAGCTTCGTCTGGGACTGCGATCAGGCCCATAGTATAAACAAGAGCTGTGATTTCAAGAGTTTGCGTTAAGTTTGGTCTGTTCACTCATGCACTGACTTCGAGAAGCATCCAATTCTCCCCGCAGTACTGAATTCAAGGATGTGCGATCCTTTCCTTGTTCGATGAATTAAGTCGATAGATTTGTACGAACTAACAGCTGAGTTTCAGACGCCGAGACTAAGTTATGTTCTTGAAAATCCAATTAGACCGATGACAATCTTCACCACTTTTGTCATTCCATCCACAAGAAAACTGACCCTTGCAATGGACGTTCTACGTGTACCTGTAGTATAGTAATTGAATTGTACCGATTTAATAACTAAACTGAGTTTCTCCAGTTCCCGTTCGAGGATGAGAACATTATTCGATGTGGCAACAATTCTAATGTGCTTTGTGTCGTAGAATCTCAGAACAGTTCCGTTCAACCAAACGCATCGTATAATTGTCGTGTAGACGATCGTAGACTGAATGCTTCAATTATTCACTTGACAATACTATCTTCATCTTCATATTTGTCTAGTGAAACAACTGCATCCTAGCCGTTCAATAACGAAGATTATTCCGAATTCAACTCTGAGTGATCAGGCAAGAACATTCAATGTGAACAAACTCACAGATTCCTGAAAACCTGCCAATATTGTTCCCATTCCAAAGGCCGCCAACTCAGTTTTCAGTACAAAACGTATTCACTCAACAGGCCTCATCTCCACTGCGCTAAAAGTGACTGTGAAGGCTGTTCACACAAAATCACAATCAAACATTACAGATCAACACGACCCCTTCCGATTTGCAAACCAACACATATACAGTATCCTCCACGGTTCACATCCTCGACCAATTTCCTTCCATTTTTGACCCCATTCCGATTACAAAAACCAATAGCATTCAGGTATCCGAAAAAGATGCTCGCCTTGCTACCAACCGGGAGTACAAGACAAGATAGGCATGATTTCTTACAAACCCCTTGTCAACAATTCTGAGAGATCGAATTAAGAAAGATGTTTCAACATCATCGTACAGTGGAACGAACTTCACTGATCGCTACTAAACTAGCAATAGATACAAGATTAGTGGTAATATTTAAGGTGAACATGAGACTGGACTTATTTTCAGGGAGGGAGATGGTGAACCTNAGTGCACAATCGAACTCTGCATACACACCATTTCAAGCATTCTGGTCTGATCAAAAATGGCAACAATAACGCCACTACTCTATGTTTGCTGCCATATCCTTCGTCTCCAACCAACCAGTTGCGGCGTCTTTCAGACCCCAACCTGGAAGGCGCATGACACCTACTCTACCTAATGATTCTGCATTTCTTCATGCTTTGTCCCCACGTCACCTTTTAACTTTCAAGTGGTTTATCTTTTTTATCATTTTTTACTTCCTTTCATTGAGTATACGAAAGTACAATTTTTCAGGAACGGGGGAGCGGCCAATCAAAGGGTTGCTATACAACACACATAATGGCGAAGGACAGGCGGTGGTAGTGGGATTCGAACACGACCTCCGGGTTGATAATTGGTGACGTTACCACCGAGCGAGATCCTTTCTTGAAAATTAGAACGATCAGTGATTCGCCCTAAGATGAAGGAATGCGATCTTGTGTCCAAATATTGCACATTACGGTGGTATTGGAGCTTACGACGTTAACACCTCCCACCTTGGACAGAATGGGAGGGAGCTCGCCCGGTCCTGCTGCCTTCCGTCGCTTAAGAGACAGAAAGCAAGACCGAACTCCTGTTTTCGCTGGGGAATCGAACGACACTGACTAACCAATTCAGCTAACTGGTTCGTTTCCGATACATTTACCTTCTTTATGCTGCCTCAGCCATCCACAAACAGACGTTAGCTTATAGTGCAACCAATCTCATTTTGGACAACACAGTACAAGTAGAAGTAATCGTCTATGTTTGCGAAATCCAACTTAAGAGGGCAAATTGACAGATAATGATCAAAAGAGAAGTCTCATCGATTGAAGCGGAGCTGGAAGACCTGATAACTTGGAACGCGCGACAATAAACATGTAGTGCTTGTGACTGTCTCGCCAACCCAGAAATTCGATCCGTGACTGTGAGCTTACGCTCCCGAATTTGATCTGAATCGAGTCAACAGATCAACAATGTTGATCCAATCCAAACAAGCCGAGAACCCAGCTAATTTTTTGCATATTTCCGTGCACCTCTGTGGAATGCACAGCAGCTCGTAGGTTTAAATACTGCATCCAGCCTCACCGAATACACTCACTGAGTAAGAGATGTCGAGAAAAAACTCGCTTTCTGATGGCTGCCAGGCGATCAACGTTAGATGGATTCATATGTAGTTATAACGAATAGTTGGTTATTTTCAGATTGTACGAGTGATCATGTAATTTAATTACTGTCATCAAGAACAGTCAGGATCCTGCGAACACCAGTCTTGATGAGAAACGCATCGCCCAGTGCCTAATTTACTGAGCTAGTGGATGACTGAGCAAAGGAATTTTTCAAGTTAGGATGACTTGGGGAACCGACTGATTAATCTCACACTGTTCGAATCACCGAACAGTTCAGTTACCCTGGTTTCTCGGTAATTGCCGGACTCAATGTGTTGCATCCTAAATAAATTCAATAGAGACGTGCACAAAATAAAAAGACAGTAGACTGTGGAGGATGAAGAGAAAGAAGCTTATGTCGTCCGAGCAACGAAATATGGACCGATGCGGACAGATAAAACACGTCAACTGAGCGGGTTCCAATGCAAGGATCACACCGCATGCCGCTAACAGTGAGAACGAGGGTAACGAACAGGCAATCATCATGGTTGATGTGTAGAACTGNACTGATGTGGGTACATGAGAGTGGGACCTGAACACATCTAAACAATCCAATCGGTTGGCATAATGCTTGACGGGCGGGATTTTAGCTTAACACACGTATGTAACAATGATCAGGTCTTGACAGTAGACAACTGACAAGTATTGATTTCCTACTCACACGTACACACACACGTTCACTACTTTTTTCTCTCTGTTAGTTAAAAAGCGATTGCAGATAATATGGGCTAGGGACAAGTTCACGTGAAAATTAGGTGTCAAAGTCTCTGTATATCCCATGCTCTCTGCGTGTGTGTTCGCAATAAAAGAACAACATACACCGGGACATAAAAGAAGACAAGCTAACACTGGGTGGGGGTGTGGTTTGGATCATCAGGTTGAAAACGCTGATCACAGCGTTTTTTCAGACTGATCGAGACTAATAGAAAACACATAACCACACAACAATAGACGACAGAATATGAGGAATGAGGCAGGACGAAGGTAGAGAAAATGTGATCCAAAAAGCACCGCATCGACTCAAATGCTACCAGGTCAGAATAGCGGTCGGTGCGAGGCTTCACTTAGTGAAAGAAGAAAAACAGATAAAAGAAGAGGTTATCCCTGCCCGTCGCCCCATGTAGACTGATAAGTATCACGCACACTCTGAAAGTCAGAGGATTACTTTACGATGGAGATGTTCAAAACAGAGAAACAACCGAGTTGGTCTGAATTCAGTGCACACATAAGCTCCTGGAGGATTTGAATGAGCCGGGAGGAAGGAACAGGGAACAAGTGTAACGCTTTTCGTAATGGAAACCAGTTTTGCGGTGGGTGGGCCGTCTGGTTCACTGATTCGAGTAGGGTATGGGGTTGGATGAAGGGGTACGTCAACCGATCCGGCAAGTGTCAAAATAGAAACACGTGCTGACTAAATGCGTAGCTGACCGATAGTTGTTTGTTAATACCATATCGTACAGGGCGCGCAATTCGGATTCCACCGGTTGTGAGTCAGGATCGCGGCGGGGATAGGAGGTCTCGTTTAACAGTTTGCCCATCAAGTAATGCAACCAATACAGATTTGTTCGTGGGTGGAATGGTCGCCAATCGTTTCTGGGGAGATAAATGGCAGGATAAACAAAGAGCGTATAAGACTATTGCTTGTGTAACTTTCAACATAGAACAAGGTGTGCAATGACGCGCTGCGGTCCATTGTTTTCAATTAACTACGTAATCTTTCAGCTCGGGAAAAAATACTCGGGAGAATGGCGCTCACAAAGTTAATGAAAGCTCGAGCCCCGTGCTTCAAACTGAACAAACAAGATTTCCACATCATAATCAGCGTACAGAGAAATATAGCGAACCGAACTTCAGTGATCGCTACCAAACTAGCAATGCATACAAGCTTAGTGATAATACGTAAGGTGGAAGGGTGATGCACCTATTGCGAGGGGAGGAAAAAGTGAACCCCCCACGGTCAACACAGAGTAGATAATCTAATTGTGTATATATACCTTTACAAGCATCCTGGATTGATAAGAAATGACAACAAGAAAGTCACTGCCGTTGTTTAGTTACAATATCCTTCAATATCTCCAAACCACTGGTTGCGGACCCCAACCGGACAGGCACGAGACACCTACTCTACTTAATGGCTCTGCGTATTTCGTCACGCCTCGGCTCCATGCCATCGGCTGACCTCCATGGGGTTTCCTCTAGCCCGAAGAGACTACAACGAACAAACCGCAGTGCAGTAGACGAAAGCTGGGCGCAAGCAATACGTGATCTAACCAGCGAAAACTACCAATATGAATTCGAGAGCTAGCCAGTTTATTCAGGATAAACTCTTAAACACAAGACGTTCCCCGTTTCCCGGGAAACAGGAATGTAGTCTGAAAGGACCTCCCAGATGCGCCTCAATCGAGGTAAACCGACCTACTCTGGTATTCATATCTCCTGCTAAAATCACGATAGCAACCCAGCCCGCTTTACGCAAAAGGTACAATTCACATTTGACTGCATCTGGGATGCAGTCCGTTGGAGCGCACACCGACACAACAAACAGGTTTAATCTGCCGGGGCGACCGCTGCTTGTTTTGCACGAACTTCTGAGTCGCACTGCGCATAATCTACTGTTCACTGGGATCCAATCCAGGAGCGCGGCTTCAACTCTCTCACTGAGAGCCACACCAAAGCCAAAGACCGGGAGCCGCAGCCTCAGGGTCCCCACCGGTTTGCGGACAAGCATGGCGCCGACACTTCATGTGTGATACATTCACCGGGTGAGATACAGCTACACAAATACCGAAACTTAGCCTCGTACTCCAACTCAGTCTTGTAGCAACATTTCACGTCTTTAAAGTGCAAAAAAACATTAGTCCTTCTCACACCCTGAAAACTCGACAATCACCATTCCGAGAACGTAAGTTGGAACCAACATAACTGACTAATCAGATCCAAACATTGCACGTTTGTCAACATAGTAACCATCCGTGCCATTGCACTGTTAATCTAATAAACTTAGTGCTTGACTAACTAAACCCGGAATACACAAGTGTTATTTTTCGAAATCTCAAGAAGCATTTGTGCTTGGCCTCGAAACAAGGTATCCTTCGACTCTCGTGTCAAGGAATTTTTCGTTAGTGAACGCAACATCTACATCGCAATTGACCTTCACAGAAACTGTCACAATTATTAATAACCCGCTGAGGGATAAACAGGTAACAAAGGGTTTCACAAACAACTATCAGGATATACATGAACAAAAAACACGCACAGACGCGGAATCAAGGTTCCAGTGACCTACCCATTGTTATCCCGCATAATGCGGTATATGTCAAACTGGTAGTCACCTTCTCCTTCAAAAATTTCAGGTGAGTCTGACATATCCACATAGACAATATTTCCTTCTGAAAAAAAAGAAAGGGTATGAAAATCAGTGTGAAGGAGCAGAGGCTGGTGAGTTAGCAGAAGAAAACTTTGTCCAGCAGAACAGTTCTGATCTTGGTGACTGGGACTGGCCTTGAAATCAACGAACAAAGCACTTTATGTAAGTACTGCCAGTCACAATCGAATGACCAATCGCCAATTTTTGCACCAGGACACTGGCATTTCAACTCGCCGCTGAACTGGGTGATGGTAACAATGGAGTTCTAACTGGGGACCAATGGACCTACCTCATCAGCGGTTGCAGACACTGTATGTTTGTACGTTGAGGGTCGTAAGTAGTAGCGCTCGTGCATTTATTCACTATTTAAGCAGATCCAGACCAATTACTTTTGACATCTCCCGTTATACTGCTTCAGAGTTATAACTCTTCATTTACTCCACATTTTGGTGGACCCAAATGCGTGACCAAAAGATGGCAATCGAAACCAGCGCATGTGAGTAAACAAGTTGAAGAAACGATTACTGAGTTCCTTGGGGGAAAGGAACTGATTTATGCAGTTCCGCAAAAAGGTATTGTAGTTGCGCACAGGTATGTCTATTCGGAGTGAGATTCAGATTCAATGGAGTTCGGAAGCGAATCGATCACTAAATGGCGACACATAAGATTTACTTTCAGTTTGTACAATTAATAACCACGCATATTCGTACGCCGGTTTTGGTTGCTGTCTTTTGGCTACCCATTTGGATGAAGAATAGGAGAAAGGCAGGAAAGTTGAAAGTAGAGTCGAACGGAAAATGGGGAATTTGAGTGGTCTAAGGTTGTAAAGAAATTGAGAAGATGCAAGAACGTTATTGTTTACGACACCCAGCCATATCACTCAGTGTCTCTAACCATCAGTTACGATCATCCCGA